TATTGTACAAGCCGTCCATATTCATGTCTTCAACTACTGTTAGGTGTTGTAAGTAATGTACAAGCCGTCCATATTCATGTCTTCAACTACTGTTTGGTGTTGTAAGTAATGTACAAGCCGTCCATATTCATGTCTTCAACTATTTTTATTGTAAGTAATGTACAAGCCGTCCATATTCATGTCTTCAACTACTGTTAGGTGTTGTAAGTATTGTACAAGCCGTCCATATTCATGTCTTCAGCTATTGTTTTGTTTGCTATTGTAAATTATAATATATATTTATTGTTGTGCTGTTTTTCTTTATCTTATGTGCAAAACTATACAGTGGGCTATCTGCACTGTGCTATCATAAGTTATTGATGTAATATAGAATCAAATATCTGATAGCGGATCATGGTTTCAATCCAAGGAATTAAAAAACAGATTACCACAGAATTTTTGACTGAAAGTTTGTGACTGATCCACAACTCTGAGATTTAGCCCTGGTAGGAAAGTTGTAGTTTGTTGTTTTAAAAAGTGATTTACTAGCATTTAGCTAATTAATAGAGCAGTTGCTTGTTAGATGAAAGGAAATGGATTACCAAATAGGCTACACACAAACACATAAACACTAATAGAATAAAGTCATATTTGCTATCAAGAGGTACAGGGCTGTATACTCGAATACATAAACACTAATATAATAAAGTCATCCTGGCTATCAAGAGGTATAGGGCTGTATACTCGAACACATAAACACTAATATAATAAAGTCATCCTGGCTATCAAGAGGTATAGGGCTGTATACTCGAGAACATAAACACTAATAGAATAAAATCATACTTGCTATCAAGAGGTACAGAGCTGTATACTCGAACACATAAACTCTAATAGAATAAAGTCATCCTGGCTATCAAGAGGTATAGGGCTGTATACTCGAACACATAAACACTAATATAATAAAGTCATCCTGGCTATCAAGAGGTATAGGGCTGTTTACTCGAACACATAAACACTAATAGAATAAAGTCATATTGGACATCAAGAGGTATAGGGCTGTATACTCGAGAACATAATGTTATTTTGTTCCTAAGGAAGTAGATAGCTATAAAACAACTGTCTGCGAAATCGTCAAGGGCCTGTATAAAGACATTAAACAGACCCCGTTTGTTCCAAGATTAAAAATCCATAACTGATCCCATGAGGCATCGAGGGATCTGGAAGTTTGTTTACACAAAACTTGTTGGTCACCAAAGTATCAGGGGGCTGTATATACAACATTAAACAGATAATATTAGCATAAAGATCAGAAGTCCATAACAGATCAAGGTTGGTAACCATATGAGAACTTGTATACACAAGTCTTGTTGATTGCTAAATGATCATAAACCCATGTAAATGGCATTATTGAGATCATGTTGGTCATCAAGAAATCTGAGAACTGTATAGAATAAGGTATTGTTACAACATACACTTAAACTCTGTTCGAAAACACTAACAGTATTGACTCAAAGAGTTCCATGAGTTAACTTAGGGGGTTTTGCAAATGATTGTTAAATATCGTGATTTTGTTGCTTAAATGTTGGACTCTTTACTAAACATCTTTCGAATTATTTTATGAGGAAAGAATCTGTGATTAAGTAAAAGACATTGTCTTTATTTTCTTCTCACATATATATAAATCAACTGCACCTGTTTAATAATGGTTTATTTTACAGGTCATCCTTTTATTGACAGTTCTAAAAAAGGTTTGTGTCTAACGTTTCCAGTTGTCATAAAAGTTGCTGTCATCATTGGAGTTATCCAGGTGGCGCTGATAAGCTTCTGTGCCCTGTTCCTGATTTTTACTCGAAAGTCACGAGGATATTCCGGTAAGCCTCGTCAGACCACCAGCCGAACATCAATTAGTAGCAACGCGAAACTCTTCCCTGATATATCGTAGTCATTGAAGCATATTATCACTGATTATGATCGGCATGTTTGAGCAGGACTTCATGAAACAGGAAAGATTAGTGGAATGTAACGAAGGAAATACTTCTCTTTCGCGTTATTCAGTATTCTAAAATAACAAGCATAATATCATTATTTTCTAGCCAGCATCTTTTACGCCGCCACCCCAACGACCCCAAAAAAATATTAAAAACGTATTTTACTACTAGAATATTAAGAATTACCTAAATAT